CTAATGCATGCATATTATGCCTATTGAAACGTTAATGCATGCATATTATGCCTACTGAAACGTTAATGCATGCATATTATGCCTACTGAAATGTTAATGCATGCATATTATGCCTACTGAAGCGTTAATGCATGCATATTATGCCTACTGAAACGTTAATGCATGCATATTATGCCTACTGAAACGTTAATGCATGCATATTATGCCTACTGAAACGTTAATGCATGCATATTATGCCTACTGAAAGATTGCATTTGCATACTTGCATTGGGATGTTATAATAATCTGTTTTTTTTTATTTGTTTTAAATAATTTGTTCCTTCTTTTTTATTAAGGGTAAATCTGAGTTCATTGGTAGAGCATTGGCCAATCCTGTCATCAAAATGGTCAGTGATCCATATGACAAACCTGATTTTCCCCCGTTACTTGAATGGTTCAGTGTATACAGAGGATCTAATGCTGCCGGAGAATTGTTAGCAGCTTTTGAATTGTTACAGGTTTGTCTAACATTATTTATTATCATAGTTTGAATTTAAAACAAATAACCAGAATTTAGCAATCGAGAAAGGAAGGCATAGAATTTGTAAAGAATGCTCGCTAAATGAGTTTGAAGATGATGATCGTCGAATTACACTCTTTACAACTTTGCCCCAAATTACATTTAAACAGACAGACAATGCATTTTACCTGCTAAAATCACCAATTCATTCCAGAAACTTACATATATATACTTAAAAATAGATGAGGAAATGAGCAAAAGCATTGAAAGTTTTGTAAACAGGTGCATCACAGCACAAATTGAAATTGTATAATTTTGCTTTTGATGTTACTTGTACAAATTTATTTACCGCTAACAACTGTTTCTAATGATAATAAAAAGCAATAAAATATTACTACTAGTGTAACAATAGAATCAAGATCTGACTGTAGTTTTTATTTTTTTATTTTACAGTTACCAGCACCGGGTGATACAAGGCATGACCATAACCTACCACCAGGTGTGCCAGCAATTGATAAAACCAGTGACAGAGGTCCTATCATACCTGTACCAAGAGGTATCAGACCAAATCTCAGTAAACACAAGATTGAGGTGAGTATGGCATTAAGGAGAAGACGTAACCAACATATACATATTCTGGTGTATTCATGGTAATGTACTTATACTATTAGCTCTATTTGATAAAAACATGTCTCTTCATAGTAGTTACAATAACCGACAAAGCCTATACAAGTAAATATTTCTGACATAAATGTAGGGTGGCTATTATGTACAATGATCTTCCTATCTACCATAGAGCTGCAAAAACTTTTATATCTTTAAATTTAGGTTCCCTCTTTTCACCACAAATTCACAAAGTAGTCCTGTTTATAGTCTGCACTTTCCTTGGGTCAAAACTGAAAGTTGACTCAAATTTTGTCTGTTGACTCTAAAATTAGGGTTTATTTTCAGAAATATTGTAGAATATTAAAAAACAAAATGCTGAAAAATTTGGGCAAGAAGGTCTGGTGGTGAAAAGGCTAAATGTATTAAATATATTTTTTCAGTTATAGTTAATAATTTAATAATTTAAATTGGTATCTGCATATTTTCTATGTAGCTATTATCTCTTGTCTATCCAGAAAATTAACTAAATAGTTATTTGAATATTAATAATACAATACAAACAATGTCTAATAATATGTAGCCAGCAATGCCTGGTGAGTGAAAGCAGCTGAATTGACATGACGTAACTATTGAATATCAAAATTTTTTAACTGCCGTTGTCAAGTTGTTATTTCACAATAATTTTTCAAGTTGTGAGTTGAATGAAATTCAAAATGGTGTCATGCAGAACAACTTGGGTGTCACCACTGCTCAAAATGACTAACAACACCATTCAGAAATAAACTATTTTTAGTTTGTTGTCTGATAATTATCACCTTGTCATTAAAATTACTAAAGATGTTTTATCATGAATGTACTTTCTCACTTTTCATAATTTGTGAAACAACAAACAAAATGACACTGCCCATAAACTGGAAATGTACCATTTTCAAACTTCCATGGTATTTCTATTTCTTTCATACATACACATTATCTAAAAGTCTTGCTTCACAACTAGCATATGACAACTCTGATAAACTTGCTATAATTGACTAATTCATACTTTTATGAAGGTGACAATGTGTCTTCATCTAGGCATCATACATATTAGTGATTCTAAAACCTCACTTTATTTGTAGATACTATTCTGGGGAGTTCGTGACATGAAACGCTTACAGCTAACATCAGTAGATCGTCCAAGAGTGGACGTGGAATGTGCCGGACGGGTAATCACCTCAACTGTTATTGAGAATGCCAAAAAGAATCCGAACTTTACACAACCTGTCAAGTATATAGAAGTGGTAAGGATAGATATGCATTCACTATATGTACTAAGAATATTTTTACCATAATTTCAAATTTATTTTTGACTCCCGTGAGCGAAGCACAAAAAGGGAGTCTTTGCAGTTAGTGTGTCTGTGTGTGTGTCTGTGTGTGTGTCTGTTCCATCAATATCTCAAGAACCACTGTTCGGATTTCAATGAAACTTGGTATATAGCTTGTCTCGAGCAATGCACAGAATTGATTTTTGGTTGACATCCATGCATAGTAATGAGCTCATCTGCATAATAATGTGTGAATTTTAAGCTATTTCAGTTATATCTTAAGAAGCATTAAAACGATTTTTATGTAACTTGGTAAGAATGTTACTAATGATTGGCTGCTGCAATTCATTGTTGTATTTTACATTTTAATTAAAATTTAGCATTTTTTATGTATTTTTTTATTATTATTTTTAAATTTTTTTCCTGCCCAATTGCATGAATACAACTAATAGGAATCGGTGAGTGGACTAATTTGCATAATGATGCGCATGCGTATTCTATTTTTTATGACCAGCAATTTATGATGGTGTCAGCCATTTTGTTATTTCCAGTGTGTTGTACAAAAACGAAGCAAACGCTCGGGAGTTGACATGTATCTGTTTATATTATGTAAAGGTCTAAGAAATTACATGTATGATTTTTTATTATCGTATAAATAAATAAATAAATAAATAAATAAGTAATTGAACAATTGTATAACCTCAATGACTGTGAAACGAATTACTGTACAAGCTAGTTTACATTCACGTGTGGTGTACAATTACATTCATGACAAGGTACTTTGAACCCTGTGTGGGCCCAGTCAAGAAAATAATGAATGTGAGATTCATCATCGTCAAAAACATGGCAGTGATATGAAGATGGTTGGTAGGTTCGATTTCGATTTCATGGTAAAATGTTGTGTAAATTTGTTGTACTTGTGAATCCTGATTTTCATCGTATTATTGAACGCGAGAACAAATATGGTGACCTCCAGCATCAATGTAGTTGTATCAAGTCGCTGCCGTAAGGAGATATTTCCTTTGTATCGCTTACCAACATTGTATTGTACTTCTTTCCATTATGAATTACATATATACACTTTTGGAAACTTGCATGGTGCACTTTCACCCCCACCCTCCCCAAATTACGACGCTATCAAGTCAATTAGTAGGTATACAATGTCTATGTGTGTAGATGATTACTACATCTTAGTTTCCTAATTAACCAATTAAAATACCTGTCAGGTAAACTGCATCTCTACCTTAAGTTAAGCCATGGAGCAATAAAGAAAATATGGTTAAGCTGAATACCATGCTTCATGTGGAATGTATAGACCGTGATGTTGGCATTAACTACTGGATACTCAGTGGAAACCACTGAGGGAACGCCATGCTGGCCGGCATCTCTTGCCTGGTAAAAAATCCATCGTAGATGTTTTCGAAACGAAAATTAGCGAATAGGTTTTGTTTCGAGTCACTTAAAATGTCCTGTGTGTATTTTTGGTTGGTACTCATCGCGTGCGACGTGCCCAATTTATAAGCAGTAACAAATGAGACGTGTTGGGGATTACTTTGAATTTTATGTACCGAGAAGTCTGCCGTAAATAATTAATATTTGTTATGGTACTGAGCTGTATGATGGTTGTAATTTCACCATGTCGATTCTCGGGATATACGAACCAATCGAAGGAGCTCTAAAGATTGTGATGCCTTCCTTATAATATACGTAACTAAAAATAAATAAATATAATATTTATTGACACAAATATTGATATTAAGATAGTGGTTTGAATTTTAGATACTTAGATTGTGATTGTTTGTCAGAAATTTACATAGTTGTTCTTGCTACTTTATCTTTTTCTTGTTACTGTGGAATACTTTATTTTCGCTGGAATAAATTTTCGCTGAAAAGGCTTTTTGGGCGTTTTGCTTGGAATTTATTTTCACTGATTTTTGATGAGTTTAATGTGAAATATAGGGAAAAAAGTATATTCGCTGGATTTTATTTTCACGGAATCATCCCTTCAGCGAAAATAGCGAAAATAAATTCCACGTGAAAATAAAGTATTCTACAGTAACTAAATTTCTAAAATATTTTTAAATGCCCTACAAGTTTATTTTGGGCATTTATTTGTTACTATTTTCGTTGCATTTCATTTACCCCAATGTTTTATGAATTATTACAGTTTTCTTTTTAATGTTTCAATTTTGTGTAGACTTTTTATGCATATTTTTAAGTAGGCTTATTGTAGGTATACAAATGTACAATGTCTATGTGTGTAGATGACTACTGGTGGCTCCTTATTTAATAGATTATTCATAATTTGTTTATCATTTTCAAATATTCTCAAATATGACATCATGATCCCTATTCCATCAGCACACGGGAGTTCTTTCTAAGCTTTTTTGATTATACATTATGCATTTATGTCTGTTACCACGAATTTAGTTTGCATCTCTTTCCATGAAACTGGTTTTGTTTTGGGTCTGTTTTGTAGGCCTGGACATATTTCCATAGATCTTGTTTGTTGACAAGAATTACATCTGTGTCCATGGTTATTGATTATTGTCATGAACTTACATCTGTTACAATGGATCTTGTTTGTTGCCATGGAATTGGATCAGTTGCTATAAATTTTGTTGGTTGTCATGGAATTACATCTATTACCATGGATCTTGTTTATTGCCATGGAATAACCACCATGGATGTTATCAAATCTGATATTTACATTTGTAGGAGCTGCCAGAGCGAGAGATATACTGCCCGCCAATTTCTATACGTGTTGTAGACTGTAGAACATTTGGTCGATTTACATTGGTTGGAACACATGTGATTAACAGTATCCAGAAATTTAGGTACATACCAAAAGTGAGGAAACCTGAAAGGAAGTTATTGACATCAATTCCAGGTAATGTATGTGTACATGAACACCCACAGCAACAACATAGTATTCATACAAATACAAGACTTTTATCTTTCCTTGATGATATCAATCTTATTTTCATCTGGATGTGCATAACTTTTATTTTTTTTCACTTTCTTTTGATCACTCTGACAATATCGTTTTTAATTTTGTCTACTCTCCGTCACCCTGACGATAGCATTTTTAATTTTGTCTACTCTCCATCACCCTGACAATATCATTTTTAATTTTGTCTACTCTCCATCACCCTGACAATATCATTTTTAATTTTGTCTACTCTCCATCACACTGACGATATCATTTTTAATTTTGTCCGCTCTCCATCACCCTGACGATATCATCTTTAATTTTGTCTATTCTCCATCACCCTGGCAATATCATTTTTAATTTTGTCTATTCTCCATCACCCTGACATTATCATCTTTAATTTTGTCTACTCTCCATCACCCTGACGATATCATTTTTAATTTTGTCTACTCTCCATCACCCTGACAATATCATTTTTAATTTTGTCTACTCTCCATCACTCTGACAATATCATCTTTAATTTTGTCTACTCTCCATCACCCTGACAATATCATTTTTAATTTTGTCTATTCTCCATCACCCTGACATTATCATCTTTAATTTTGTCTACTCTCCATCACCCTGACGATATCATTTTTAATTTTGTCTACTCTCCATCACCCTGACAATATCATTTTTTTTTGTCTACTCTCCATTACACTGACAATATCATCTTTAATTTTGTCTACTCTCCATAACACTGACAATATCATCTTTAATTTTGTCTACTCTCCATAACACTGACATTATCATCTTTAATTTTGTCTACTCTCCATCACCCTGACATTATCATCTTTAATTTTGTCTACTCTCCATCACTCTGACAATATCATTTTTAATTTTGTCTACTCTCCATCACCCTGACAATATCATTTTTAATTTTGTCTACTCTCCATCACCCTGACAATATCATCTTTAATTTTGTCTATTCTCCATCACCCTGACATTATCATCTTTAATTATGTCTACTCTCCATCACCCTGACAATATCATTTTTAATTTTGTCTACTCTCCACCACTCTGACAATATCATCTGTAATTTTGTCTGCTCCCCATCACCCTGACATTATCATCTCTAATTTTGTCTATTCTCCGTCACCCTGACAATATCATTTTTAATTTTGTCTACTCTCCATCACCCTGACATTATCCTCATTAATTTTGTCTACTGTCCATCACCCTGACAATATCATTTTTATTTTGTCTACTCTCCATCATTCTGACAATATCATCTTTAATTTTATCTACTCTCCATCACTCTGACAATATCATCTTTAATTTTGTCTACTCTCCATCACCCTGACGATATCATTTTT